TTAAGACTGGACACGGTGGCTCACACTCATAATCCAAGCACTTGGGAGGCTGAGGCAGGCAGATCACTTGAGGTCAGAAGTTTGAGTCCAGCCTGGCCAATATATGGAACCCTGCCTCTGCTAAAAATACTAAAATTAGTCAGGCATGGTGGCACTCAACCTATAGTCTCAGCTACCCGAGACACCGAGGCAGGAGGATCACCTGAGCCTGGGAGGTGGAGGCCGCAGTGAGTCAAGATTATGCCATTGCATTCCAGTCTGGGCAACAGAGCAAGACCCTATCTCAAAAATAATCATAATAATCATAATTAATTTTGAAAAGTTTTTATAAAGAAAAGTGCTTTCCTAATGTTGCTAGCTGCATCCAAGTTCTCCTCCAAACCCTGCAGTCAGCCCACCCACCAGCAGCATCTGTTTGCCCACAGCCTTGCTCACAGAGTGATGTCAGGCTTTTTAACTTTCACCAATCCATTAGCTGCAGTAAGTCCTCAATGTAGTTTTCATTTGCATTTTTCCCTAATTACAATGAGATCAATATATTATTAAGGGCTATTTGTGTGTGTGTGAATTTTCTGTTCATACCTATTTCTCATTTTGTACTAGGTTTTTGGTCTCTTCCCTTCTGTGTTTTAAGAATTTTTTATATGGAAGGGACATTTGCCTTTTAACCATGCAGTATGCTGCAGACATTCTCTCCCAGTTCATAAGTTGTCTTTTGACCTTGTGTATGCCCTTCAGTCAGGTGGAAGTGTTGTTTGTTTTATGTGGTCAGCTTACTGATTTTTTATTGCCTCTGGATTTTGAATAATTGTTAGAAAGCTTTACCCTAACACTGTGGTTAAAAAGGAACACACCCATGTTGCCTTCTAGTATTTGTGTGGTTTCTTTGTTTTTCATTTGCATCCCTAATATGTTTAGAATTTTTTCTTCTGTGTGATGTGAAAAACGGATCCAATTTTATCTTTTTCCAAATGGTTAATAAGTTGTCCCAGCACATTATTACTATTATTATTACTTTGTGATAGGGTCTTGCTCTGTCTCCCAGTCTAGAGTGTGGTGGTGCAATCATAGCTCACTGCAGCCTGAAACTTCTGGGCTCAAGCAGTTCTCCCACCTCAGCCTCCTGAGTAGCTGGGACTGCAGGCACATGCCACTATGCTAGCTAATTTTTTTTTTTTTTAGTAGAAGCAGGGTCTTACTACATTGCCTTAGCTGACTCTTTAACTCCTGAGCTAAAGCAGTCCTCCTGCCTCTGCCTCCCAAAGTGCTAGGATTACAGGTGTGAGCCACCACACCCAGCCTTAGCGCCAGTTATTAGAAAGTTCATCCTGGGGCCGGGCACAGTCGCTCACCCACTGTAATCCCAGCACTTTGGGTGGCCAAAG